TAGTTCCTTAAATTGCGGATGTATGTTGTTGTTGTTTATATGTAATTGCCATATTTACGGATCTATCAATTACCTTACACCAAATTAACATATATAACAAAACTTTTAAAAGGTCAGATCTCTCCTTCGAGAAAGCTGCTAATATCGAGTAATGAGACTTTTAAAGTACTATTAGATATTAACTCGAAAAACAGACTTGGTGAACAGTAAAAGCAGACGGTTTTGTCAAACGCCTTATTTTTTAAAACATATAGAGCCAGCTTTAGGTCATTTTATTTGCTCTTATTGGGCATTCCTTTATTAATTTTGGTGGTTATATCTGCGCCTTCGAGCCAGTCGGGGTAGTGAACACTTAATACTTATTTTGATTCACTAGAGACCTATGCTGAAGTTAGATAATGTTTGACAGTATGTTGGTGCCTAAAAACCTTCCAGTGGCATTTAAAGATTAACAGTTAAAACTCTTGGCACTTGTCCAAACTAAAATGTCTCCAACATTCTCGCATATGTAGAGAAAAGAGGTTATAAATCTTGGTTGGAAAACACACGTCCAAACATTTGCCAAGGTACCGTTAAAGGCGTATGCAATATTTCTAAAATAACAAGCAACAGTGATGTTTTTTACATTATGTTTTGAGTTTTCCGAAAAACGAATGCTGCCAAATGACTATTTGTTTGCAAAAAACAAATAAATTGCGTAATTCGTACACATTTATAACTTAAGCAACCGTTATTTGGTGATATGTCTATAAAATTAAATTATTTTTCTTGTCCAAACTGCTCAGACTTTGGATACGACAACAGAACTTTTAGTTTTAACCTGCCACACAGTTAAACAAGTGTATTAACGTGCACTTGAACGAATGTGCGAGCATCTGGCAAGAAAGGGGTTATTTCTGATTAGCGACATTTTCCGCAACTAAAACTTCCCCATAATTCTTATTTGAAGTTTGTTTTTATTTTATTCCGTGCACGCAAAATAATTGGTTCGTCTTTTTTATGTTATTGGAAAGCGATCCTCCCCCTTAACGCATAACAACCCAGCTGCCGTCATATGTGCGATAGTTAGCCTTACGATCTTTGAGTATGAGAGCTAATTTAAGGCCCCCATTAGTGCTGTCAGCGTTTTGGCGCTGGTTACACATTTTTAGTTCTTTCCAGCAAACTGACATTATTAATGTCGCAAAATGTATGAGTGCTTTGTTAAAATTCTTATACCCGCAAAGCCTCAACGGATAATCAGAATGAATGGACTAACTACATTCCAGCATCTTATATCGCCCGTCCGTAATCGTCTTCTAAACACGAACTATCAGTGCACATTATAATTTTTGAAATTTTAAGCCCCGAGTTTAAAGTAAGTTGCTGTTATACCCCCGTGTGTTGAAGTAGATAATTAAATAATGACTGACTTCGTCAGGTTTTAGGTGATTTAAAACATTCTGCCAGTGAAGTGCCTGACAGGACTAACTTTACAATGCAAATGCGATATGGCTTGTTATCTATCGATTACACATGAGCAACTTAACAAATTATTGGGAAGATCAGGGTGCAATTGCCTCCCGCGTGACAGACAATACCCACTTTTTAATTAAGTTCATTAGATCTTTTGCAAATACATAGGTGCCTGCGGTTTAAGTGAATTTAGTGATTAGGGTAGTGGCCGGTTACGGTGCCCTGGTCCCAAGTGTGAGCCCAATGTGGGCACTGCAACTAAGGTAAGCCAAAGGGGGATGCTGAAGTCCTTAGTGGGAAAGTGGCCAAAGCTTAAACGGAAAAGGACAATCTGGTGTTTCGGTTTAGGTGCAGGGTTAGTTTTAGAGCTTAGATTAGTGTCAGACTGAGAACTGAGTTTAGGGTTGGGGGTTGTGCTAAATGTAAGGGTTCCGGTTGGAGTTAGGGTTTGGATTGCTGTTTAGGTTTACGTTTAATGTCAAGTTTGGGGTTAGGGTATGATTACGGTTAAGGTTAGGTTTAGGGTTCGCGTTACGATTGAGATTAGGGCTGGGCATTGAGTTGAGATTAGGCTTAGGGATAGGACTAGGGCCTGTTGTAGGTTTAGAGTTAGGCTTAGTGCTAAGTTTAGAATTAACCTTATGTATATAACTGCGTTAAGGATTAAGTTTATTTTTGAGTCTACGGTTAAGTTTACTGTTAGTGTTGAGGAATTGCTGACTTGCGTGTAATGTCAGCCAGGTTTTTGCGATTATCCCAGTCTTCCTTCATTCTCGTGGCAGATTTGTCCTGCATCAGGTTGGCTTTTCCGTTTCAGCCTCAGCTACCTTCACTACTAACGATTTAAGGATCTCCATTCAGCCTTCCTTTCGATGCCCACATTTCGCTTACACTGGGAATCAGAACAGCATAATCGAGTCTCGCCCTGCTGAGAAAAAATTATTTAGGTATCTAGGTCACGCTGCTTAAATCACCGAATGCTATTACCGGTAATAACATTCTGCCTACATCATGCTCCGCTGTGCGACTGCTATTTGGGCTGGAGAAAGAGCCCGTATAGCACAACTGAACGAGCGAGTTCCGTCATAGCGACAGGTGAGCGCCCCTCTACCCTTTTTCATTTCTGATCAAAACCGAGCAAAAAATGGGCCCGCGGTCCAGTGGTAAGAAGCGTTGGACTTTTAGCTAACAGTTCGCGAGTTCGAGCCTCAGGTGTTCCACACTTCGGGGTCGGGTATTACTGGCTGACTACGGCCAATAAGCCAGAAATGGCCATTCTAGTCTCCCTTGTCTTTGTCGGCAATAACATTCTGCCTAAATCCTCATAAATAAATTCAGAGCACCTATTATAAGGGTTAAATCTTGTAAAAAATATTTAAAATTAGAAGAATACATATGTTTCTGGAGCTTAGTGCAGTCAGGTCTATTATTATAGTTATTATTATTTAGTTAATGGATGTGCATATGGTGGCAGGTTAATGGACCTTGCCATTTCTTTAAGTCGACCTTAAGGGATACCAGAGATGAATAGTGAAGTAATAGTATACAGAACACAAGAATCCAAAGATCTGCCCAAACACTTGTCATCTTTACAGTGGTTGGAGAGACGGGATTATATCTCGTAGTCGCGTTGTACGGGTGTCATCTGAGACCATTTATAAAAAAAACATTTTTTCACAACCTCCTCCCAATTGCTTGCTGAAAAGTCAACAATGCCAGAGGAACATCTGCAGCCTTTAGACCAACTATTTTCGGACCACTCAGCAGGTCCTTGCGCATAATCAACAAAAATGGTGAACCACTGAGGAAAATGAAATTGCAGCTGGGGACTGTAGTCGTACATACTGGCTAGTCAGAGATGGCGCAAACGCATGACCCAACTAATGTGGATCAGCTTTCTTGTAATTCAGTCACATTTCCACGTCTCCTCACCTTAAATACACAATAGTAGTTCCGTTAGCACTATGGAGGACCTTCTCTTTCACCACGAAAGCTCCAACACTACCCGCGTCTGGATTACGCCTGAGAAAGTTAATACAATCACTCCACATCGAAATGCTCAGATATCCCGATCTTCAGAACCGCATGATTTAAGAAATAAACAAACCTCGCCCCGCCGAGTTGTATCGCGTGTGACTAAAATATACGTATATGTAGCAGCGGTGAAAGACGACAGAAAGTGGTGCTGTTGCGATTTTGGCGAATTCAACTTGGTAGTTGGTCGCCTGATTGTGGCACTTGCCACCCATACAGAGCTTGTTCGCTTCAAGAATCCAACAGATAGGTATACATCCATTTCTGATTGATCATATATATATATATATATATATATTGATCGCTTCATTTAGTGGTCGCTGCGTCTGGCTCTGTGAGTTCCGTTCACACCTATTTGGGTTTCAGCTAGATTTTAGCCACCTGCAGCAGCTATACGTCGCTTTACGCATACAAATGAGTTTATCCAAACCGTGGTCTGGCAATAAATGCTATCTGATAAATATGACCACTGGCGATTACGATGCTAAAACTGACATGCTGTACGCCACAAAAAGCTCTGGTAAAAATCGTCAGATTTTTCTAATAGAGTTCAGAAATAAATAAAAAGGGTGCAATCCCGTCGTAATTTTTTCGTCGTTATCGCTTGCATGTAAATGAACAGTATTTGCTGCAATCCGTGCTCAACTCGAAAATAAATTCATCAGCAGTTAATGCTTTTGCCTGATCGACCAAATATTTATCAGCCAAAGTATATATCCTCTTCTGGCAGTGACTCTTAATAACAGGCTGTATTTGCTTGACTTATTTAATTTAAAAACTAGCAAATGTTCTGTTTTAAAACAACCTTGAATTTGATATTTGTTAAGTTACGCTCCAATAACGACCACAAATTTTTAGACCAGTTTAGGTAACGGCTCCACTTTGCGACAAATTTTTCCATGTTCATCATGGAAAAAATTTCAACGAGCATAGATAAAAATCAAGAAAGATTCTTATACATGCATAAATTGACTAATATGTGGAGGTCAAAACGTTAGTAGAAGAGATTTTAAACTTCCGAAGATGTCTTATTCATGAGAATTTTCCTATTAATTTGCTGCAAATTGATTTTTTCTCTCTGTTTTAAAGAGAATCGGGTCGTATTAGAATTTAGTAGGAAGATCCGGAAACCAGTATGCCACTTTCCTTCTGCGCTTAATGATACTGAACAGAGCATAAGCGATAAGGAACGTTCTCATGGAGCCATGATGGGGATTTATTTATCCGAATGTCAAAGTAGGTTTATTGTAATTCGTCAGCCTTCATAACCAATGAAAAACCTTTGGCTTACAACTTCGTCTGAGAACTTATACAAGCCTTGGAGATTAACTCACGAAACGCACTGGCTAACATTGGTCAGTGGACCCATTCTTATAGGCATCGAATATCTATATATACTACTTCTCGTCGTATGCATTTCGTGCGAAATCTCCGCAGATTTTCACGTTATCGGGGAAAATATGGTTGGCCATATTTTAGCCGCCTCCATATTATTTATAATATCATTCCACATGAACAGCATTCTTACTGCCCGCATAGATCCAAAATTTGACCTCGAAAAGATTATGGGTACGTTTATACACTTACATAATATCTCCTTAATGTAATATAATCATTTAGCGAATACTTTGTAGTTTGGGTGTTGACTTCCTTCTCAAGTAAAAACAGACGTTTTATTTTAATGCATAATTTCTTCAGCGGTTAATAATTGCTGCTCTTTTAGTAGAATAACCGACGGTTTAAGGTTTACCTACTTACATAATGCCTATTGAGCTTATTTAGAAATCAAATAATTAACCAAAGACTTTAAACAAAATTCATTAACATCTGCTGTGAGGCAAAAAATTACAATATATTCGGAGTAATACTGCATCTTGCACTCAAATATATGGTATCTGTAGCAGAATCTGACATTTATGTAGCCTAACGTGTTTAGCTGTATCGTGTAAAATCCTGATAAGTACGCTGGGACAATTAATTTTGAAATTATTTAAAATATCTTAGTGGACAATTTTATCTCCTGAGTTCTCGCTTAACTATGCGTCTACTAATAAGCCATTAGTTCGTGACTTAGGTTCGAGTAAGGCACATCGCAATCAAACATAAGGCTGTTTGGCGAATACTTTTACTACCGCTGCATAATGGAAAACTTAAAATGTGCTGAGTATTTGGTTGTTAAAAACCTTATACAATGCATTAGTGTGCGCTGCTATGATTGTACCATATATGCTAAATCAGCGTTTTGTCCAACGATCATATTTTTGAAAGCACTTGCAGTGTTCAAATGTAAATGCTGTTTGATCAAAGCAGCGACTTAAAACACAAAAACAACATACTAATGTCGACAAACCAGCTTTCAACCCCAACGCCTTCTGATCACTGGCTTCGACATTTTACATCAACATTTCTTTCTGCCTAAAGCTTGAGAATCCTTTTCCGAATTCTGGAGACAAACTTTTGGTTGCGATATGTTTCAGTAGTCTGTTTGAGGAATAATATTACAACTTGAACACGTACAGTCTCAACCATTCATATCGAATGGATATTTCATTCGTAAATAGTGGACAAGCGAATCTAAGAAGCCAACTCGTAAAATTTGCCTGCGGTAACGAACGTGACATTTTATCATATGGCTTATTAGATACTTGTTTGGCCAAGCATTTAGATTTTCTAGTGTTCGAATGATAGAAACTTATTGTATGAACCGGTGTGTACGACTGATTAAGTTTTTTCACGTTGATCTGTAAATGGACCAAGTTCGTTCGTCTTCGAAAATACAAAATACTTAAACATTGCTGTTCCCGAAAAATCACAAGAATATTAACGACAGCTAGAAACTGCGCACGAATACATCTACAGTCAAAGCTCATCAAGAGTCTAGGCCAACTTTTCAATTAGTTCTAAAGCAAGGATGTATGCATTGTTCTGAATGTTAGTTTGAATCCATATTTTCTACGTTGCGAGGATTTTAAGATTGCTTTGGTTACCCGCATATGCTTTTGATGGACATTGCAAAATTACCGATGCCTAGAAAATTTATGTTGTCGATTAAGTTGCTTAATGCATGTTTAAACGTGCCGATTTATGTTTTAGAACCAGGAGATGGTGGATTCCTCACTAAAAGGCCCTGGGCATTGACTGATCCCCTATTCTGCTGCCTACATAATCTTCGCTGTTGCAGACAAAAGAAGGTTCACTGGGAAAATGGAGATTATTACCAGGACCCAAGCCAGTGGATGATTTAAAATTTGAAATCTGTTATCAACAGCATAAAAATAAATTGCATACTCATTCAATTAGACTTACTTACTGTTTTCCGTAAATCGTGAGACGTTTTTAGCGTTTCCGTTCTTTGGCCTGCATTTTTTTACGTAGACAGAATGCAGCATTATAGCTAGGACAACCCAGTCGCCGGAAAAGACATAGGACCCTCATTTTATGTACAGAGGGGCCTGTGGACAGAAACTAAGGATTCGTTGAAGACTTCTTTCCTATCCATTGTAGGCATATAACTGACTCACTCAATTAATGGCGTCCTTGCTCGCCCATACAGGTAGCGAAAATGATAGACACTCGTTCCACAAAGTGCTCATTAAAGTAGTATATTTTCAGACGGTATCTAGGTCAGACGATTTGTAGCGTGGGTACTTTTACCAATACGTGGACCTGGAAGTAAACGTCTTCGCCTAATCTTAAGGTAATTGATTTAAATCTACATTACTGTGGTTTATGTTTTTTGTGGACGACATATTTCAGCTCGCCCGTAAAAACCCTTTTACCGCCTTTCTCGTAAGACAGGCAACTTTGGCTGATTGTGTGTGTTTGGGGGCCTTTATCCGATCGTTGCCGATCGCCTTTTATTAAAGTCAGATCATTACAGTTATTTCCAGACTGAAAATTTATGCTTTAAAAAGCTAACAGCAAATTTAGCTTATCGAAACATGTTATCCAACTCTGTGGTAAAGAAAGATTATAAGAAAATATGAAGAATTAGAAATTAAAAGTTTTTGTGTCAGGTTTTGCAATTCCTCATCTAATGGCGTCTTCAGATCATTGGTAATGCGAATTTCTCTACAAAATCGTCCTCATCTGAGAGTGTTTTCACCAAAAACGGGCTCCATAGTACATCGGAATCCAGTTGTTAATACTACAATTTACTTCTCATTCGACTGGAAGGAAGATAGTACACCGAACGTTTATTTTTAAGGAAAACGCTTTGGGTTTCGGAATTTAAAGCAACTGCATTTGTGGGCAGAATAGAGCGTTTATGAATTACTTTTTGCCTTTTCTTGTGGACTTTCGTATCGTTTACTGCATCGTGTATTGATATTTTGCGACCCATCAGATCTTGGAATATAAAGTTGTTTGTATGATATTTGCGTTGTCTATGCGATTTGTGAATACTCTAGTACTGCATTGTTTACGCAGTCGCATCTACAGGTTCCAAAACTGTGTCTTCTTTCAAGATCTAGTTATTTTTTATTTGCAAGTGTAAACTTCTAGAGATCCAGACACAAAAAGCTTTCCAGAATCAGTTAAATACTCTTTGGTAGAGTTAGTTGATATTTTCGAAAAACCATCATTCCAAGGTTTCTGAAATCTCTTCACCATACAAGCCCCACCAAGAGTTCGCTTCTTTTCGGAAGAAATTTCACATATTTGCTGACATTTGTCGGGTTTCGGATTTCGACTTTCAGACAATACGTTACATGAGACTGGGGGGAAGATAGTACGTTGGCCAAACAAATATTTTGGTTTGCCAACGCCCACCTCCTGGAAACCTTTGAGACCACAGACCTATGTCGCATTCTAAAATCGTAGCCCGATATCAGATAAAGTACATATGTGCGCAATATTAACAAAACATTATGCAGTCGGAAAACCAAGCGACAATTCCAAACGATAAACATCAACTGCCAAACGCAAAAATACCGGTAGGAACCGGCCACCTGCCGTGTTTTGTCTAATGTTGCTCAGGAAAAAACTTAGTCAAAACGTTGCTTCGTGTTTGTTATCCCGGACGTTCAGACGGAGCCTCGTTAGAATGAACGCTCAGTAGAAACTTTGGTATGACCAAACAAAACTTCGACAGTTATCCAGAGTAGCTTTACACTTTACTAGTACTATCTTTAACCGTGGCTTATTTTTCCGTCAGACTATAGTAAGATCGTAAACAAATTCTTGAAGTCTGCCCATTTAATTTCCATCGGAAACCCATAAGAATGGACCATACTTATTGGTTAGCGCTTTTGGTGTGTGAGAATATTTTGCAGATTGTTGTTCATAAACTAGTGAGTCTCTTCCAGTTTTTGAGATAGAAATAGAGGTCGGTGTTCGTGCTTTCTGTCGTTGGTGCAGTATTACTCTATAGCAGAGGTCTAACTGAGCATAGACTACCACTATGCTTATTGCGAAACATTTCTATGCAAGGAATTCGAAGTATTTTATTTAAACATGCATTTTACCTTGAGAAGGCCTATAGGATTATAAGTATCTGCAGCATTAGGTACCTAAGCATCGATAAACCTACATATTCAGTAGAGCCCAGTGAGACAACACAACAACAATTCATTGACATTCCTTCACTTGTCTGTAATTTGTGTCTCTTTATTCTACCTCCATTTATGACCACCGTTAATGACGAACCGTTTGATACCTCATAGTTGCTTTTGGAACCAACTGTTCCATATTCTGATAATTTGTATTATGGGCCTTAAAAACGCTATTTTAATAAATGAGATGAAATATGTCAGGCGGAAACCGTTTTGATATTTAATTACCTCTATAATCATCATCAATATCGGGTATTGAAATCGGGTTTTCGAAACTCTATTTATAAAAGGAAGTTTGTTCTGTTGAGAAAAATTTCGGAGGCATAGCATTTTCATCGGTAATTTGAAAAGGTTTTCCGACAACAAAGTGCCGCAGAGATGTGAACAAAGGTTAGCCATTTGGCGCACAATTTAGTGAATACGATGGAGGGAGCAAGAGTTCTCACCCAAAACTTCATATCTTGTGCTTCGTCTGTCGAGCAGAATGCGGTCTCGCGTCGTCATCAAGTAAAATGACACCTTTTCCATTTATTACACCTGGATGTTTAATACCAGAATCTTGATTGAAACGTTCCAACTGATGGCAGCAGGGTGTCAGTTGTTTCGGTCTGACCTTGATAGAGCAGCTAAATGTGAAGCACGCCCACCCCACACTTCCAAAGCGTACCAGGACTTTCTTAGCGCATGGGCCCGATTTAAGCGTAGGAAATGGTGTTCGACCTGTAGAAAGTCACTGGCGTTTGCGCTTGCTGTTAGCGTAATGAGTTAATTTCTCATCCTCACTAATAGTTCTAGAAAAGCATTTTTTCCTCTCCTGTCATATTAGCAAACCTTTAAAGATTGTTGAACATTAGGCTATTTTTCTAACGAAAGTTGGCGTTGAACTCAAACTCCTAGCCTACTGATTTGTCCTACCTTTGTGGGTGCTCCTGAGAAGTAGACAGTGACAAATGTAGCTTTCCTTTTAATTCCACAGTGGCCTAATGGTTGCGCATAAAAGTTTATTGTTCAGCGCCACTGGTCTTTTCAAACGACGAGGATAGGAGAGTTTTAAATCGTCCAATTGGGGTTTGAAGAACTAAAACTGGCACTTGGAGACATCCAGATCATTCAGAAAAACAATAGAGCTTGTTTAAGCTGATGTTGTTGCGTTGTTTCCCATACAAGACTCATACATCATGCAATGATGGACAAGGTTCTCTTAGAATTATATGTCTGTTATTTTGTTAGACCTAATTTAAAGAGCAAAACGTATATAAAGGTTTGAAAAAAATCCCAAACAGATTTATAAATACACGTACTTTGCATAAGGCAGGCATAAAACTTTCTCAGGTGGCATTAAAATTTAGACCACAAAACGGCATTACTTTCTGGTACCTCTAATACCACCACTCGAATACAACCCATCGTTACATTTTTACAACTTGTAACATAATTCTTTTGTGGAATGCATGAAGCGCACTGCTATCTAGCCCTTGTTGGTAGTATCTTTCTACCAGTGAAGGAGTTTAGCTGTATTTTCCGGTTGAAATAATGGCCTGGCTGATGGGAAACAATGGCCGATACCCATGCAGTCGGTTCAGGTGCCTTGAAATTCATTTCATATTTTATTTTGTGGCGTTGCATAAAAATGCTTTTTTGCGCAGAATGGACCTCCACTTCATTGGTTTAGGAAACAGCGCACATTTTGGACGAAAATTAATGCTTACTCATGTCCACGCCACTGTCGATGTTAATACCTACTGCAGTCCACAAACCTGTGTTTTTAGCAAATAACGATAACGCCACCGTAAAAGAACTCACAGGTAGGATCTTCACTTTGACGATAATGAGCCTATTAGTCCCTTGGAAACATCATCAATATAGTACATTCAGTTCATTAAGCCCTTATGGTTGTTCAATTTATCACTCCAGAACTCCTAACTTTGCAACTACCCGCATGTTTATACCATGCTATTTGCATTGTGAAACCATGAGCACCCATAGACTTGCTATAAGCACCTAATGACATCACAGTAAAAGTACCGCACGGCGGACGCTGCTTGATAGTTTAATAAAGCCAAATCGTTCACCATACTGATAGTTCAATTACAAACTAATAGGCCATTTACGTCTATCGCCAGTTTTGTGCAATGTATGACGCCGCAGTACTTACCTGCTTTTACTTGGTACGACCACGAACATGTTTGATTCAGTCGATTTCAATGATGTCATGGACTATACTTCTCTACGCGTGAAAATCCGTGGCAACAGATATGGACAACTCAATCCATCCTCTTCGGCAAAATCCAGCGTCTAGCGTCTGTTCCCGATGGAGTAATCTAGATCGTATACTATTCTTCCACATCACTGGACTAGGGTTGCAGATCACGTCGGTTTCCACAGACGCCGTAGCATGGACCATAATACTGTGGTCGGTTATATTTTTTTATAAAGTTCCTTAGGAATCATGAGTACAGGCGGACCCCCAACAACAGCCGTGGTTATTTTTTGAGGTTGTCTCCTCAATCAAGCTTATTCAATGGAGGTTCATAGTCGCCATGTCGCAGTGTCTTCCTCGGCTTTAGCGGCATTTTATAAGGCTGTCATCGGCGTACCGAGTCCCAGTCCTCAGCCCAAGGTAGCAGTACTGCTGGTCCGCAACTGCTTATTCGCCAGATCCAAAAATCTGCCTACTTCTCACCTAACTTTTT